ACAATTACTATAGGTCATATTGATGAATGCCACTATGTATCAACCACTGCCTTACAATCAAATGCCTCCATTTCAATGTGCAGTGAATTAACAAATTATACTCAGTCATCAATAAATAAGCATTTTATTATGTCCATATATGCAGTTTGTTTCTCTGTCATCAAATCATGCACTTTCTGGGATTCTTCAACACTTCAGACTCTCCATGAACATGCATGTTTGTTCTATGAGAAGTGTAATGCAGACCGTGTAGGCAAAATTGTGATAATTCTGTAACAAACTTCTTTGCAAACTTTGTCATTACCATTCAACCCAAAACTGTCAGTGATTTTTGCTCTTTCACTCAAACTTAAAAACAAATAAAAACCTTATACAGATCACACTTATTGACATCACAGTGTAAAAACAGTACTATAACACAGACCGTTATAACAACATCCTCCTTTCTCATGCATTTTGTTGCTTTTCTTCTGCATGAGTTAATTCAGACTAAGTATTAGCCTCCACACAGGAGGGGGGAGGGGTGCGAGAGGTAAACTATGCAATCCCGTCTCCCACTGGGCTCCGGTAAGTTCCACGTAGTGGTTCTAGTTTCATTAAAAATGCTCTTCCCGTGAGCTGTTTACATAACACAATTTTTAGAGAAACTACACTAATGCTAAAAATGTATCAATATATTAAGAAAATCTATCCTATAATCATTACTTCCAAGCGCCTGTTATGCAAGCATAACCGATTTCATGTAATAGTGGCCATTTCAAACCCTTCATTTGTGAGAGTGACCAAAAATTTTTGTCAATAAATGATCAGATTAGCAAATGCTACCACGGACTAGTCTCTTTGTGTCGTGTATTAACAAATATTTTTCTGATAAGATTAAGTTGTTGTTTCGCTATAGTCGACGAAAGCTGTGTGATGGCCTGTGAAATCTTCAAAAGATAATCCCGCCAAATTTAATATTACATGACGTCATTCTAACCGACCAATAAGATGTCATCCTTAAAATAACTACGACGCACGACAGAACCAAAAAGAGATTTCAGATAATCTTCATAGGAGGAGGGTCATGTATGAGGGATTCACTTTCTCCCCTCATTCTCTCTTAGTAAAGTATGGCTGACGGTATGGAGAAAATGGATGCTGATATAAGGCTTAAGGGCGGTAAGCAATGAAGGAAAACGGTTTACTGAGACAGAACTATTTCATTATACAATTTATTGCCAGCATTTAAAAAATATCCCTAAACTGTCAAACAGATTTCACATATACAGGCCTAAACGAACATACATGAACAATACATTACAACCATGCAAAACATATTACGGAGCACATGCCTTTTCTAAAAAGTTCATTCATTGTTCCATAGCAACCACACATAACTGAATGCTATGCTGTGGACATATATTTTTATCACACACACACACACACACTTATTACGGCTGATTATGAAATGGCATAGCTACAATTTAATGATACAGAAAGGATCGACTTTTCAAAAGCTATCGTTTTTTAAAACCGCCTACAGTCGACAAATACAAAAAGCATCCCTTCATATTTGTATTTTTTTTAAATTGTAGTAATTGAAATAGAAAACTAGTAATTGAATATAGCTGTCGAGTGAAATATTTAAGTGCAAACCGCAGGTTAAGCTGTATTGAAAATAGCTATCTTCTTGGAAATTTTCAAAAGTTCTTAAATACAAGACTAGAGGTTCGCGAACGCGCGCTTTCAAACGGTCACGTGGAAAGGACTGCCTGGGATGTGTTTGTCAGCCCATAATACTTTAAGAATGTAGACACCAGGCTCTTCCAGCGCGTAGTTGACAGCGTAGACGTTACTTCCAGTGTGCTTGACGTTAATTTCTTTGGCGGGAATCGCTGGACCCTCGACGCCGACCATCAGTGAGCCGCGCCCGGCGTTGCTGGCGTTTACAGTGAAGGAGTTGGGTTGTCCCAATACCGCGCTATGCAGACCTGTTCCTCGTGAAGTACACTTCGATGCATCTCCGTCGCTTCTGTATTTGCCATCCGAGGGGTGAATCGTGACGTTGTAAGGGCTTCCGGGGATATCCTGACCTGCGAATTTTATTCTAATGGTGTATTCGCCTGCTACCACCGGGTTGTACGTGACTTGGTAAGTGCCGTCGGCATTTTCACTGCAATTCATCTTAACCTTCGCCGGGCCATCCACCGACAGGGCAAGCGCTCCAGATCCGGCCTCAAGGGCGTTAACTGTGAACTCCGCGGGTTCTCCCACTTTTCCGCTACTAAGACCTGAACCATAAGCTTTCACCTTCTCTGGGTGACCCTCTGCCCCGCCTACACGGATCTTGAAGGGACTGCCGGGGATGTGGGAGCCGTCAAAACGGACGTTGACGAGATGATCACCGAATTCCCTAGGGGTGAAGCGTATGGCAAAGTTCCCACCACCGAGTTTGGATACCTGCGCTTCTTTTTCATCTCCTGAGGGCGAGATCACAGAAGCTGTGACGTCACCAACAGACGCATTGGTCTGAACTGAGAAGGAAGCAGGTTGGTTCACCTTTAGTCCGCTCTCTGCCAGGTCGGAGACATTGAGATCCCGGAAGCGGTCTTCCACTTCCGGCGAAACGTTCACCTTGAATGGACTTCCAGGGATATCCTCGTCAGCAAAGCGGATATGGACGGTGTATTCCCCATTGGTGGTAGGTAAGTACGAAATGTTACAAGAACCGTCTCCATTGTCGGTGCACTTAATCTCTGACTTGGCCGGTCCCTCGATTGCGATTGCAAGTCCTCCTGGTCCAGCGTCACGTGTCCAGACAGTGAACTCTCCCGTATGGTTGACCACGCCTCTTTCAAGCCCAGGTCCCGCAGCCAAGCACTTCGCTGCACCACCCCACACGGGAGCTTCAACGAAAACTTTGAAGGGGCTTCCGGGGATGTCCTTCTTTCTTCCGCTCTTGAATCGAACATAGATCGTGTGTTCTCCACTCTCCTTCGGAACGAACCGGATGGTGTAGGTTTTGGGTCCTGATTCGATAATGTCAGATTCGAGCTCTGTACCATCAGGGCTTATCACCATGGTTTCAAGGTCGTCCATGTTGTAGCCTTTGAGATCAAACACGAAATCGTGAGGCTGAGCAGGAGTGGAACCGAAAGTCACAAGGTCCTCAAACACTTGTGAGACTCGCTGAGTTGGTTCAGAGAACTGATCTGGAGCTGAAGAGGCCACCTGGTGAACAAGAAGAAAACATTTTAGTAAACAAAATCAAATTACCAAATTTCACTTTGTGAAATTCTGAAAACAAATAGTGCCATGTGAAAGTACTGCTCAGTAGCTTTCATTTGAATCATTTCTTCCACAGAGACAAAAGCTAGAACCAGCTTATGAGACTCCATCTTTGATCCTGGAAGGGTTAAAGTCGTATCATCCTTAAAATAGTAACATGTACCACACGAAAAGATCCCAAAACCAATAAATGCATTTGGACGTTTTTGTAACAACCAAGCTTATGTTATCAAGGCAAACCTTGCTTGTTAACCCTTTAAGCCACAATATCCACAAACAAATTCTCCAAACTGATCTCTATACATTTCCTTACAGAATTAGTTGGGAGAAACTGATAAAAGATCAGAGATTTTTCTCTTTGTGATCATTTGATTAATTCTTGTAGATGTTGCACTTGACAATCTATGGATATTGTGAGGAGAAAATTGATGTTGGTCACTATTGGGACTTAAAGGGTTAATGTGCTCCTCACCGTTGCACTGAAGAATCTTAAAAGTTGCGGTAACATAGATCATTCCTTAGTATTCATCCTCACCGTCACCACCATTTTTCATCTCCATATCATTTAAATAAACCCTTCATCGATGTATGTATTGATCATTTGATCAGGTGGTGTCAAAAGAGGTGCTTGATATTCACCACATCCGAATACAACATTTACACTGAGGCGAGCATCAGTTGGAATATGTAGCTATAGCAACAGGTCGCTACATTTAAGGCACGGCTATTCCTTTCTCCTTACCAGGTCCTCCTCGATAGGTTGTATCGTATCTCCTGAAGGCCTCACATTAGAGGTGAAGGGACTTCCGGGCACATCCTCATCAGCGAATTTGACATTGATAGTGTACTTCCCAGGCTCAACCGGAAGATACTCCACTGTGCATGTGCCATCCTCGTTGTCTGTGCACGTGATCTGGGCTTTAGAGGGTCCCTCAATTGATAGACCCAGTCCTCCATAGCCAGCGTCGCGGGTGTTGATGGTAAATGTACTGGGCTTCCCGGCTACTCCATCATGTAGACCTGAATAAAACGAAACCAATCCAGACTGTTAATGTTAAGGAATATATCAAACTCCTACACTGTCGCGAAAAACGCTCTCAGGTTTTAAGTGATCAAATTATCTTCCTCGTAAAATATCATGGTTTAATCAAACAGGAAGGTTACGAGAAAAGAAGAGTTATGAACAGTTTCCCTTAAAGCCACTGAGCGGAAGTGTCCTGTGGTACTCTTGTAATACTTTTTTGTGCGTGTGATTGCTTTGCGAAGTTATTCTATTACTTAAGCAAAAATTATGCAAATTCACATATATTACAGCATGTAAATAATTATATGAACTAAACTGCATTTACCTGGGCCGGTGCACACCACCTTGCTTGGATCAGCAGGTCCAGGACCGCTGACCATAACAGAGAACGGACTGCCATTCACGTGGCTTCCGGACTTCTTAACTGTCACAAAGTGCTCTCCAGTCTCCTGCGGGGTGAACGACACACTCAAAGTGTTGTCAGAGTTGAGCGCGAGAGGGAGCGGTTCCTCAGGCTTCCCAGAAGGCCGCTGCAGACTTGCAGTCAAGAGACCGTTGTTATAATCATCCGGGAGTTTGAGTCCAGGAATTTCGAGTCCAACACCGCACGGTCTGCCAATGGCGTTGCCACTTTCGGGGGCGACCACCATGACAGAGAAGGGGCTGCCTTTCACGTGATCTCGGTTTTTCTTAATACTGATCAAATGCTCTCCAGGCTCTCGCGGTACGAACGACACAAACGGCTTGTTATCTGACGTAACTCTAAGCTTTAGATCTTCTTCTTGGCGGCTTGATGGTCTCTTTAGCTTGGCTGTTAACCTGTTCAATTCTTCGGGGAGTCGAAGGTTAGGGATATCTAGAAGACAGTCGCATGGTGTTCCAACAGCATTGACAGCTTCTGCGGCTTCGACCATAATAGAGAAGGGACTTCCAGGTACATCACGCCACTTCCTATCTGGGGACTTCTTTCTAACGCTAATCTGGTGTTCACCAGGTTCTTCAGGTACAAATGACACGCCCAAGGAATTATCGCGCGTGATTTCAAGCACAAGCGGTTCTTCTTTTTCGCTATTTGGTCTTTTTAGGAAGCCTCTGAGCAAATCTTTGTCGAGATCGTCGGGCAGCGTGACGCCCTGTATATCTAGATTGACATCGCACGTTCGACCCATTGGATGAACTTCTTCAACCTGCGCACAACAGCAAAAGAGTATTTTAACCGACAGTGAACAGACGAGCTTACTCAATAGCTTCATTAGGGAGTTCAAAACAGCTTTGGAAAAGGTAAGTCTAACGTAGGCTCCTTCTATCTTTCTCTCAATAACGGAACTTGAATACGCCGCGGCACTGTCTTATTTCTCGCGAAAATAATGTTCTTACAGTAATCATGATCACGCTTAGATGGTAGAGACCCTGCTACAAGGGAACTCCACCATACGGCTACCTTGTTCTTACAAAAAACTTTGATTTGCCCTGAAAATGCCTGTGAAGCCTCACACTGTTCACCTCTTAACGGCCATTTTCTTAACAGTAGCACTACCAAAATAATAAACAGGGGAAGAACAAGGCCATGAAATATGACCATGCCATACCCAGCTTATTGTTCGATTTTTATGGTCTGTTTGTAGCCGTATTAACAGGGTTCAACTGTAAGTAAGAGCAACCTACTATAATACTAAAAAAAAAAAAAAAA